AAAGACTAATTCAACCTGCTTGTATTTAGGAGTTCTGGCCAGGGGTAAAACCTAACCGGTGCAAACCAACACAGACTTTTGAGGACTTCAGCCTTGACTAAGGAGTTCAGCAAAGTCAACCTAACCCTAGCTACTATGTGCTGGGGGCAAGTGTGAGCAGCTGCCCTTCCTAATGCTGCTGGGAATGTGGTTTGAAGAAAATGAAAAACGTTCCCCTGGTCAGACACTGATCCAAGCTTAGGATACCAGTGAAGATCAGGGTGGAGTCCATTGCAAAATCAATGAACCAAGAGAGAATTCAGCCACTGGCGGAAGGCCTACCCCACAGGAACACATATAGTCTCAGGTTTTGGAGTTAGCCAGATGCGGATTCCAATTCTGCTTCTGCCACTTTCTGCGTTGCTTTGACCAAGTCAACTGTTCTCTGGAAACCTCAATTTCCACTTGTAAAGTACAGAAGAAGAAGAGTACCTTCTCATGGAATGACAAATATTAAATGGGAAAATGAATAAAATACCCACCACTGGGCACCTGGGTGGCTCAGTTGGTTGAGCAACTGCCTTCAGCTCAGGTCATGATCCTGGAGTCCCGGGATCGAGTCCCGCATCAGGCTCCCTGCTCAGCAGGGAGTCTGCTTCTCCCTCTGACCCTCCCCCCTCTCATGTGCTCTCTCTCTCCTCTCATCCTCTCTAGTCCCGCATCAGGCTCCCTGCTCAGCAGGGAGTCTGCTTCTCCCTCTGACCCTCCCCCCTCTCATGTGCTCTCTCTCTCCTCTCATCCTCTCTCAAATAAATAAATAAAATCTTTAAAAAAAAAAAATAATAAAATAAAATACCCACCAGTGACCACACTTCTCCCCCGGGGAACTCAACGAATGGGAGTTGTTACTACTCCACTGGGCAGTTTACAGGCAGGGATGGTGTACATGAACTTGGGAGTTAAACATAGTATTTCTGCCCTTCCTACGATAAAAAATTTCTGAATAGGAGTCTAACCCACATTCTTTTCAACACTTACAGGAAAGAATTGTAAGTACTCTTGTTTCTTTTCTCCCCCTGGAGATTGCTGGAGTTGAAAAGGTTACAGACCCAGACTTCAATGCGTTTTTAAGTTTCTTTCCAAGTTTTCACACCCGCTGACCTTCTGGAGGCAGTTTTCTAATGGAAATGGCTTGTGACAACACTGCTCTGAACATCGCTTTACAGCAAGTTAATAGCTTCTTTTCTATTTAAAAATTTAAGAATCACTGTTACAGGATTCTAATGCGTTGAAAATGTTCTCAACTGTTTCTGAGAGCTTTCTCTGCCTACCAGTTAATGACTCTACTGAGCAAGAAGCATTTCCCCATATTTGGGGGGGGGGGTAGTCCTAGATCAAAAAGAGATTTGAGTGCTTGGATGCCAAAAAACCTTTGTTTCCGAATAGAGAATTTTAAGGAAAACCATAAAGCTTCTGAAATTACTTCCCAATTAATATAAAGTGTTGGTCTTCAAACCTGACCACGAGATACTCTTGACTCTGGATTGAGGCTGGAACCCTCAAATTCCTCAAAATCTTCAGATTTCTACTATATACCTTCTCACTACCCTTTCATCCTTTTGTATCACTCAAGCATGAATACATGAAAACGTTCTTTCTCCATCTTCCAAGGCCAACAGCGAATAGAGGAAACAGAGTTCTTGCCTAAAAACAATAAACGAGGGAGGCTCATGACCGGCTCATGCACCAAGCATGACTACACAGTGCCCACATGCCTGCTGGGCAAGTCCACTCTCTGAACTTGAGCAGCTGAACTGGAGGAGCAAAAAGTGAGAGCCAAATGGTCATAGTCACATTAAAACAGAGTAGGTATAAATTTTTTCTTTAAAATCATTTAAGTACTCACAGTTCAGGTGGCACTTAGGAAGAAATCACCGGAAAACCAAAGTGGGAAATTGAAACTGTAGATGACACGCAAAGGTCAATTTCAACAAGCACTGAACGCAGCCATACCCAGATGGGGCACTGTTCCAACCACAAACAGCCTTGCCCTGATCCCACATCCTCCCGCAGCACCCCTCCTTGCTCTTCCCCCCTCACAGCCAAGCTGCTGAGTCTCCACTCCTCCTCGTTCAGCCTGCCTCTGCCTTCCGCACCCTTGTCAATACCACCAGCGGCCTACAAATGACCAGAACTGCAGAAATGGCGAGGCTGCAAAAGTCAAGGAAAACCTAAAGAAGCATGTCAGAATGAAGACTAAAGAGACACAACTCTCAAATGGGTTGGAAGCTTTTGCTATAAAGACATTATTGGAACAATCAGCGGAATCTGAACAGGGCCTCTGGGTGAAGGGATAAGTGGTCCCATGGAGAGAATACATATACGTATGCACCATTCTTAAAACAACTTCGTATTTGGGGGTGGAGGAAGTCAGAGTAGGAGCTATTAGAAGACTCGGCCTTACTTAGAAGAGGGCCACACTGGAACTTCACATCGCTTTCCAAGACACACGAGCCACAACATGCACAATTTTAGTGAAGGTCTGGCGTGGCTGGTGGGAGAAGCACTTTGCACAGTGTTTCTGTTACCCTGGGACTTAGGATCCGACTGCTGAGATTCAGAACAAGTGTTTTTCCTGGTAGAGTTGGAGTAAGAAAGTGCCCTAAAATTATTTCCAAGCTAAAATAAGTCACCCAAGAAGAAAGATAAACTATTTAAATTCGATCAAGAGCACAAGAGTGAAAGGAGAGGGGTGTTTCCCTTTCCTCAGAAACACGTCATTGTTAATCTAGGGCTGAAATGGCTGTAAAAGCAGGTCCAGGATGGTCTAAGCTCTGTAAAGGACTTAGGTAAAGTGAGTTGGGGAAAAAGTCCTGTGAGGCGAGATTTTGTACTAAGATGGACTAAGTCTTGGATGAACTATTACACGGTAAATCCATATAATTTCTTAATGTTTCATGCTTTAAAAAAAAAAAAAACCGGGCGCCTGGGTGGCTCAGTTGGTTAAGCGACTGCCTTCGGCTCAGGTCATGATCCTGGAGTCCCGGGATCGAGTCCCACATCGGGCTCCCTGCTCGGCAGGGAGCCTGCTTCTCCCTCTGACCCTCCCCCCTCTCATGTGCTCTCTGTCTCTCTCATTCTCTCTGTCTCAAATAAGTAAATAAAAAATCTTTAAAAAAAAAAATAAAATAAATAAAATAAAAAAACCATTTTTTAATCTCACAACTCCTTTGAGCCATACTACAAAACTCTAAGTCAGTGACTATGTAAATTCCAAGTACTGTATTTTTCTTCTTGACTGCATTGAGTCAGTATGCTCTAACAAACTTACAGTTGATTAGGTGGGGCAAGAAGAGTCATGGGTAGTCTTCTATGGGTCTTTCTATCCCTGTATTAAGTTTCCCTGAACAGAAATCTGAACAATGAGATCTCAAAATATAACAAAGCAAAAGTACTAAGCAAGAAGGAAAAAATAGACACCTTCTAAATGAAAATATAAGTTTAAAATACTCAATGGAGTCCAGCATTCAATATGGTTAAGTATACCAAGGAATAATCAGACTGCAAAACATTAATAAGGTTAAAAAAAAAGAGACAGAGAAGAGATTCTGTACACCTATTTGCATTTTTCCATCTGCATCAGGTAGATGGGAAAAACATGCCCACACCACCCCCAAGCTGCCTGTCCCACCCCACCATGGCCCATCTAGTCCAGTCCCATTCAGTGCAGTCCAGTCTGGTTCCAGAGGTCCTCAGAAGATTTAACATGCTAAGGCGAATTCACATTCCAAAAGCATTCACACAGGAAGGCATTCTGTTAACAAAACCCATTCAACAGATAACTAAGCCATTCATTTTTAGGTCTGTGAAACTGGGATGACACATAGGGCACATTTATTTTTATTTCAACATTTAAAATATTCACAGATGCAGTATTATATTCATTGACATCTCCATGGAAGATGTACCAAACAAAGCATACAGGTTATTCCACAATTACAGAATTACATATTTGTGACTATGTGAATGTTTACCCCTAGACTTTATCTGGAAAATACTTTAAAAACAAAAAACTTCTAAGTGCTTCACTGGATTAATTTCCATAAAAAGTAAATAGCAAAGAATTTCAGGAGATACCTAAATATTAGCCAGCGCTTTTTAAAAATTTCAAGCTTTTACAGTGCTCTTTCTGACATCCCTGTCAGGAACACTTAAATAACACTCAATTCTTTCTCTTTTCCCCTCAATAGCCAAGCCAGGACGTACGTACTTGTTTTTCCCTAAGTCTTTTTTCCTATGTAGAAATAGGTCGATCATCACAGCAACTTGACTAGCTAATGAGGTAGGAGTATTCTTCAAAAGCATTTATAAAGTAAAAGCATAAGAGAACAATCAAATTATGAAGAGGTTTTTTTGTTTTGTTTTTTGTTTTTTTAGTGGTTGTTCTTTAAGTAAAATGCCAAGGGCACTGGAAATTGGTCAAAACTACCCATACTTGAAAAGACAAAGAGGAAAACTCCATTGGAAAAACCCTGCTACAAGTTCACTCAGGGCTGGCATTAATTAAATGCATTCTGGCATTACCAAGTAAGAAACTGCTGCCTTAAAATGCCAAGCTTTCTTCCTGGAAGAAATCTTACCAAGAAGGTAATTTTAAACAGAAAACCTCAGTTCCCTATCTTCTCTTCTCAGTACAATTAACTGGTCTCTTCTTTTAAACCCAGTTCTCATCATTTCCTATACCCAAAAAAAGATCAGTAATTTCTGTATATTGTATATCCAGTAACAGATTTAAATGAATTTAGCAGTCAACTTATCAAATTCTGCCAGGGAAACACTCCTTAATATGAAGATTTTAATGGCAGAATGTTATACAGCTAGAAAATGCCTAGGTAACAGATTTCAGCACCATCTCTGTATTAGCAGATAGTTTCAAAATGCACATGAACCCTGAATTCATATATACCTAGGAAACTTTCCTATTATTCCCTCTTCAACTACGCCAAAATCAAAGTTCTGTGTTCTAACTACCCTTTCTGTATTTATTAAGGAATACTTTACAAATCCACCCAATTAAGTTAAGAGAACACATGTATGTTCCCAAATAAGGGTAAAGCCACCAGTCAAGTATGATTTGTCTAATATACCATTTTGAACACTTTGGGTACCTATTATCTGATGGAAGCTAAAAATACCAGAAGAGAAGATTTATTTCCCCAATTATGCACCTATTAGGGTTACTGCTAAAAACATTAGAAAAATCATCTAAAAAATGTAAAAACATACTTAAAACAGGTTAGCTGCCAGAAAAAAATTTAGTAACTATGTGTTTCCTGGCAGCTAGTTTTGAAACCAAGTCCTTGACAATTCCACTATAAAACGTTTTAGACGCAGTAATCAAACCTGTATAATAGTGCAACTCTCCGACATGGCAGTAAACCATTTAAGATTAGCTACCAAAAATAATTTGTTAACAAGAATTTTTTTTACATGTCTTTAAACCTTTCTTTTTACTATTCCATCTAGAATTGTGTCCTATCAATGTGCTCAAAATATCCTATGTCTCATTTAGTTTGAAGAGAATTCCTTCCTCTTCACTGCCACCTTCTTTCATTTCAGTTATAGTTCCTTAAATTCTCTTCCTAAGGCACACCCTGCCCTATTTATTGCTGCAAAGCCCCTGAAATCTGTGCCTCAATCTGGGTCTGCCTCATCACTACACTTTAATGAAAATCACTTCAGAGTACCTGCTAAAACTTAGTAACATTAAGTCTAGAATACTATTGTCCAGTAGATTAACTGCAAAAAAAAAAAAGAACCAAGTCTACTAAGAGAAGGCCAAAAAACAGAAATATATGTTCTGTATACTCTTTCTTCCAAAAACTAACCACATTACCTACGATGACAGTAAAGCTCAGTTATATCTCTGGCTATATATAATCCATACTCAATGTTATAAAATAAAATGTTAGGCCAGTAAGCTTTCACAATTTTTATTAAATCCTAATCTAATATAACAGTATCTGATTTTATAGACATCATCCCATGGTGAACATGTTTAATAAGTGAAAGTAAATCAGACATCGAAGTCATTATTCTCTGCAGACTAAGCAATAAGGTAACTACACAGAACACTACAGGTAACAACATACACTTACTTGCTCAGAGTTTTCATACAAGTCATGTTTTTTTTATCAAACTATATCTCCTAATATTTAATACAGTAGAATTAGTGATTGTAGCTCTCATATAATATTTTAATTACAAGTACCTTATTGAGATAACTAACATTTTGACAGTTTCACTGACTTTCCAAATTAGTATAATATAGTCAAGAAAGAGAAAAAAGTAATATAAAAACTGAACATGACATTAAAAGAAAACAAAGTAAAGAAAACAAAGGGGAAAGTGAAATATCACTGGGGTAGAAAAATCCAACAAGTCTAGACACCGGGCTGGAAGAAAACAGATCAACTATGGATTTCACAAGTCAGAGTTTATAAATTCAATGCAATACAAATCCTTTGAATGTAAAAGCCAAGGTGAAACCAACAGGTCTATAAACTGTTACTTTTGGCCTTAAACAGTACCAACTCTTTTGATCAAAAAAGGCCACAACAGTTAAGATTGTATTACTTGATTTTATTTTACACTAGGTGGCGGGCACAAAGCAATCCTCCTTAATAAAGTTGACAATTAGCTTCACTCAGAACACTTTTAATAATGCACATAAAAAAAAAAGTATTCATCTTACAAATTGTTCTGCAATCCAAATATACAATAGCTTGGAAATCAACGTTTAGAAAACAAAAGCCAATGTAAAAAGACAGATTAAAACAACTAGAACAGTACAGGTTTCATGTGGCTCTGATTTTACAGCTTTCTTACTGCGTCATCAATGTCCGCAATCTGTTCCTTCAGCTGGCTCCATTGCTCGGGATTTAAAGAAATACCTAAAACAAAGTTTTAAAAATTGAAAGCTGGAAATCCCTTTAAGCTCTGACAATTTCATACTTCCAACTAAAAAACTGCTTTATCGACAACTGCCACTTTGACCAGCACAATGGTACCATACTGAGAGTCCAATCTCTTGTTTACTACAGATTCATCACAATTACCTGAGCAGACCAGTCTTACGCCCAGTTTTACTTCCAACACTGTATCCTGCACAATACTTAATATAGCCTGTGAGAACAAATGATGATGTGAAGATGTTCTCACAAAACCTTGCAAACTAGCAGGCTAAGTGGCCAGGTCCAGATTTCCTATGTGACACTCCATTTCTACATCCAGTTGGTTCCAACATTTGCTCAAAATTTCTATAGGAACTCAAGGTGAACAACTTTGTGCTGAGTTCTTCCAGAAGCATTCATTTCACTTTGGAAAAATTCCTGGGACGTGACCCATACAGGACTTCTCAGAACGTACATAGTGGTTAAAAATGCATTCTGGAGTCCTGCTGTCAAGGCTCAAATCCCAGCCTCCCTATCACTAACTGTATGACCTTTAAAAAAAAAAAAAAAATCTCTAAGCCTCAGTCTCCTCACCAGTAAAATGGTATTTACATCTCAAAGCGGTATTGTAAATCAGTAAGTTAGCTAATCTGAGGAAAAGCTGAATGTATCACCTGACACATAAGTAAACACTTAAAATGTTAGCTAATAACATGTCTTTTCTATTTAAGAAGTAAAAATGTGAAGAGAAAGTACTTTGCACTTGGAACTTCTAATGTTCTAATACTTGACCCATATAAAAAGAAAAATAAGCTAGAATTGGAAGAATTAGTGTATTTCTCAGAAAACTACTGGGAGGCCATGAACTTGAGAGGAAGGCAGAAGAACATACTGGGTCAACACCTTGGACGGGCTTTAAAACTGATTAAATTGTTTTAATAAACGCTTGCAGGAACAAGAGAAGAAATCTGGCATTGGCCACAATGAAACAACTAAATGAGCAGTCCAGAAGTGGCCTTGAACGAGAAAATGTTAAAGGGTACTAAAACAGAGAGGTTAGGTTTAATAAACTAAGAACTGCATGAAGCAAACAAGTGGTACCTTCAAGATGACAAACAGGCAAAAGTAGAAGATAAGGAGGCATATTTTTATCTAAGAATCAACCTAAAGCAGCGAACTACCCCAATATATGAATTTATGTTAGTACATATGTTCTCTAGGTATATGATGAATAAATAAAGCATGCTTCTATGATGCTGATATGCTTGGGACTGGGTGAAGCACAAACGGAAGAAGGACAAAGACCCACTTTGGATGCCCCCTCCCAGAGGATATCCTTTAGATGAACCAAAAGGAAAACACTATAAGCCAGAATTTTTCATTCCCAATTTTACAACTTCCCAGATCGTGCCTGCTCTACTTAAGAATTCACGTCAATTTTTTCTTTTCTAAAGTTACATCCAAGCAAATTAGCAGCCAAATGAAGTGATATTAGGGTTATTATTTTTTTTGGGTTTTATTCCAACAGCTATCAAGACATGTCATTAAAATAAGTTAAATATCATGTCTAAAAGACTACATACAGAAAACAAAGAATCAACTGAATGAGGATGTTCCAAATGCACTGCCAACATTATTTCAATTTTAAATAAGGTGGGTTACTTTTTAGTTTAGTTCTCATTATTAGGACCAAATTCAGGAAATTAAATCTCACCTTTTCTTCCAGGCTTCATTTCACCTTCTGGATCCATCCAATATTCTCTAATATCAATTAGGACTTTCCCTTTAAAGTCCCGAACACTGACGTACCTCATTTTCCCAATCTGCAAAAGAAACAAAAACATAGAAAGGTATTCACTTCAACAGTGATGTCCCTATTTATATTCACAACTTGCTGCACACTCCCTCTACTTTTAATCAAAGTAACTATTCTCAGTATCAAAACTACAACCAAAGAAAATGTCACTGTTAAGAAGAAATCTTTCTTAAAAAAAAAAGAAGAAATCTTTTTTTAAAAACATGGAAAAAACAAAGTACATCTCACACTTCCAATCATTTTTAAAGAAATCATTAGTAAAAACAGAGCAACAGTGGAACTGGAAAACAGTTCCTCAAAAAATTAAAAAAAAATATCTGATCCAGCAGCCCCACTTCTGGGTATGAACCTAAAAGAAATGAAAGCAAGGTCTCATTATACACCCATGTTCACAGCAGCATTACTCACAACAGCCCACAGATGGAAACAGCCCACATGTCCATCGTGAGATGAATGGATAAACAAAATGTGATATATATACATACTGTGGAGTACTATTCAGCCTTTAAAAAGGAAATCCTGTCACATGCTACAACATGGATGAACCTTACTGACACGTACTAAGTGAAATACACCACTCACAAAAAGATGCATACTGGGGCACCTGGGTGGCTCAGTTGGTTAAGCGTCCAACTCTTGATTTCAGCTCAGGTCATGAGGGTCGTGAGATCGAGCCCCACATGGGGCTCTGCACTAGGTGGGTCTACTTGAGATTCTCCCTCTGCCCCTGCCCTTCCCCCACACTCAAGCTCCCACTCTAAAATAACCAACTGAGCCACCCAGGCGCCCTCCTTTAGTTTTCTATCCTTAAGTTTCTGATCCTGCTGCTGGTGTGCCCCTACTTCCAGGGTATACCCCATGCTTTATGGAAAAAATGAAGTCCACTCGATATGGCTAAGTGCCTTCAAATCTTTCTTCTCTGTACTTACAACACCATCAATTCTTAACTTTTTACTTTTTCTATCCCATTTCTTACTTATGCATTCTTTCCCTTTCCAATGGCTTATCTACCATTTCCTAACATGCTCATTCCCCTTTCTATAAAGCATTTTCCCTAATCTGCAGTATTTTATAACTTTCTCCATGTTTCCTTCTTCCTTTTATTGCTAAATTTTGAAAGGATAAAAAATACCATTTCTACTAACTGAATTCCCACTGCCTACTCTAAAGTCACCAGTGATCTTATGGTCAGTTTTAATGGCTTATTTTTTCATCAGTCTTCTTTGTACCCCCCTAGTGCCTATCATACTAGGTTCCCAGTAAACTGTTTTAATGGATAAATAAGACCAAAATAATTATCACAAAGAAACTGTTAATTGTGATTTATAATACTGATTTAATAACGCTAAGAAATGTATAAGTATCTTACGCAGCCAACCACAGAACTGAACATTGTTTCATTTTGGTTTTTAGTAACCAGACATGAGCTAACAAGACCATGAGCTAGCTGAGTATGTAATATTAAAATGTACTGAAAACCTACTAAAGTGATACTGATTAGGTTAAGTACGAGTTCAGTGTTGGCTTGAGCATGTGGAAGAGACTTTAGGTATTAGGATCTAACCTTGAAATATGACAGCCTATTAAGTAAGTAAAAGAGAAAAAAATGACAAGGACATAGAAGGGACTAAGCAGAAAGATTCAACACTGCTGAGACTCAAGGACAGGCTGACTAGATGGAGCTATACTGAAGAGGACTTGAAAAACCGGAAGAAATTCTGGAGCCTTTATAGGTTCTTCGACTAAGGACCAAAACAAAACACAGAAGCAGAAAAAATACTACTACTACTCTCTTCTGCAAGGCTTGTATTCCTGACAATCTAAAAATCTGAAAACAGGGTTAAAACTTTAAAATCGCACTAGAGGGACGCCTGGGTGGCTCAGTCGGTTAAGTGTCTGCCTTCGGCTCAGGTCACAATCAGCGGGGAGCCTGCTTCTCCCTCTGCCTGATGCTCCCCCCTGCTTGTGTGCGCTCTCTGACAAATAAATAAAATCTTTAAAAATAATTAAAGAAAATAAAATCGCACTAGAAAAAGAATTAAAATCAAGACTGAAAGCAAATCTTTTTTTAAAAAAGAGAGACAAGCACGTTGTAAGCATATTAATGGCATTTTACCAGTCTTAAATTAGTACTAACAACTATTCAATTATTTTATCATAAAGAACATGGAACAGGGCGCCTGGGTGGCTCAGTCATTAAGTGTCTGCCTTCGGCTCAGGTCATGATCCCTGGGTCCTGGGATCGAGCCCCGCATCAGACTCCCTGCTCCGCGGGAAGCCTGCCCCTCTCTCTCCCACTCCCCCTGCTTGCGTTCCCTCTCTCGCTGTGTCTTTCTGTCAAATAAATAAAATCTTTAAAAAAAGAACATTGAACAATACAATAAACACACAACAAATGGTTAGCTAGGTACTTTAATTTCTACTCTTGCTCCCTAGAAACTATTCAGAAGCTCCTTTATCCATGATTTCAATGAGGTGTGCTATAAATATTTTTGTTTGCTACAGATTAACAGAAGAGGCATTTTCTTCCTCCCAAATATGGCTGACCATCCACATATCCAAAACTTTGTGAATGTACAATCTGAAGTCCCTAATCACTTTTCAAGTGACTTTATTTGATGTACAGTAAATAAGAAATTATTCAAAGTGAGGAAAAGGTACAGATGAGTAAAATGATACTCTAGAATTTGCTAACAACGTTTCAGAGAACAGCAGCACCAAAGAGCTGTGGGGTTGGAACGAAGGGCAACTGTGGGAACACCCACTCACACTGTTCTACCCAAATGAGTCTCTGATTATAATCTGAAACTTACTATGCATTTTGTAGCTCATCCCCAGTGTATGTGTTCATTTTAACATAAAGGTTTTAATGAAAATCTCCCAAGAGGGGCCCTACAGAAAAATGCACCACATTTATCCCTGTGACTTCATTCTCCAATACCAAAGCAGCAAAACCATAGCAGTACGTACATTCACTCCAGAGTTTAAGCAATAGTGGATGGCATCAGAGGAAGGAGAAAGTTAGAAGGATGCTTTACCCCTAAGATCAGAAACAAGGCATGGATGTCTACTCTCATCACTTGTTTTCAATATACTAGAAATACTAGCAATAAAGCAAGAAAAAGAATTAAAACGATGATGTAAAACAGACAAAATCAACACCACCACAAAGTTCTAAGAAGTCTCTAAAAAGTACATATGCAACCTATTATAAATACACAGTACACATGTATTTATATTAGTGATACTGTAACATCTTTTCTAGCAATGAACTGGAAAATCAAGTTAAGAGAGCAGAGATTTCTGATAGAACCAAAAAACAAAATACCAGGGGTGCCTGGGTGGCTCAGTCTGTTAAGCTTCTGACTCTTGGTTTCAGCTTAGGTCGTGATCTCAGGGTCATGAGATGGAGCCCCTCATCGAGCTCCATGCTCATCAGGGAGTCGGCTTCTCTCCCTCTGCCCCTCCCCGCCCCCTCGTACGCACGCTGTCTCTCTCAAATCTTTAAAAAAAATATATAAAATACTTAATTTAACAAAGATGTGCAAGACCTCTATAATGAAATTCACAAAAACAGACAAATTTAAGAAGATCTAAATAAATGCAGAGAAACACCATGTTCGTGAACTAGAAGACTCAGTACTGCCAAGCTGCCTATTCTCCCCAAACTGATCTTCAGCCTGACCCAATCCCAATCAAAACCCAGTAGGCTTTCGGTACAAACTGACAAGCCTGATTCTATAATGTGTATGGAAATACAAAATACACAGAAGAGCAAAATCAGTTAAAGGACTTTCACTACCTGATTTCAAGACTCACTATAAAAGCGCAGTAGTTGTGACTTGTGATACTGAAGTAAAAACTATTCAATGGAATAAAACAGAGATCAGAAATAGACATGTATTTTATATATTCATGGATTTTCATTATAAAGATCCAACGTGAGTCAATGGAAAAAAGTCTTTTCAACAAATGGTACAGAACAACTGGATCTCTCTGTGGGAAGAGAAATTAGTTCAACATCTATTTCACACCATACACAGAGAAACTAAACTAATTCTACGTGGATCACACACCTAAACATGAAAGTTATTAACTATAAAAATTCTAGGGAAAAAAACAGTGGCAAAATTTGTGTGGCCTTGGGGTAGGTAATGTCATTAAAAAGCATTAACCATAAAAGGAAAAAAATTTATAAAAATGGACTTAATCAAAATTAAAGCTTTCTAAAAATGCTTAAGAAAATTAAGAGGCTCGGGGCGCCTGGGTGGCTCAGTCGGTTAAGCGACTGCCTTCGGCTCAGGTCATGATCCTGGAGTCCCGGGATCGAGTCCCGCATCGGGCTCCCTGCTCAGCGGGGGGTCTGCTTCTCCCTCTGACCCTCCCCCTTCTCATGCTCTCTCTATCTCATTCTCTCTCTCAAATAAATAAATAAAATCTTTTAAAAAAAAAAAAAGAAAGAAAGAAAATTAAGAGGCTCTTTAAAAAAAAGGACACCTGGGTGGCTCGGTTGGTTGAGCATTTGCCTTCAAGCTCAGGTCATGATCCCGGGGGTCCTGGGATGGAGTCCCGCATTGAGCTTGTTTTTCATCAAGGAACCCACTTCTCCCTCTGCCTGCCGCTCCCCCTGCCTGCGCGCGCTGACAAATGACTAAAATTTTCTTTAAAAAAAAATAAAATAACAGATGGGGAACCTGGGTGGCTCAATTGGTTAAGCAAATGCCTTCGGCTCAGGTCATGATCCCAGTGTTCTGGGATTGAGCCCCGCACGGGCTCCCTGCTCAGCGGGAAGCCTGCTTCTCTCTCCCTCTGTCTGCCTGCCACTCCCCCTGCTTGTGCTCTCTCTAATAAATAAATAAAATCTTTAAAAAAAAAAGAAAGAAAATTAACAGGCAAACCACGGACCTAAAGAAAATATCCACTATACTTATAGCTGACAAAGAACTTGTACCTAAAATACATAAAGAACTCTTTCAACTCAATAAATCAAATGTCCTCTATTTTTTTAATGGGCAAAAAAGACTTGAACAAAGAGCGAAGTAAACTACAATGAGCTCCTACTACACATCCATTAACTTACGTGAGTAGCATTAAATACTGACAAAACCCAGTGAGGATATGAAGCAACTGGAATCTCTCACATTGCTGGTGGGTGCATAAAATGGTACAGCTACTAGAGAAAACAGTTTAACATTTTCTTATGAAGCTAAACATACACTTAGCCTATGACCCAGCAAATGGATCTGATGTTGATCCAAAGAGAAAAAAAAAATTCAAAGACTTTTACAAGAATGTTCCCATCAGCTTTATTCCTAACAGCCCAAGATTAGATAGAAACAACCCAAATGTCTATCCCTAGTGAATGGGTAACAAATTGTTGTATAATCTTACAGTGAAATACCACTGAGCAATAAAAAGGAACAAACTACCAGTAAGAACTGACCCCAAGATGTTACACTGAGCAAAAGAAGCCAGACACAAAACAATACAAACCAAACAATTCCATTTATATGAGGTTCTAGAACAGGAAAAATATATAGTGACAGAAATCAGATCAGTAGTTACCTCAGGTAGAGGGAATGACTGCAAAGGGAGGCCAAGACGGAACTTTCTGGGGTAATGGAAACTGCCTCACTATAAGAGCCATGTCTACTTGGCTCATCACTGCACACCCAGAACTCAGTAAGGCCTGATGAAATACAGTCTTTCGAGACCACCAGAAAATTAAAAATATGTATCAATTTTATACATAACTATGCATTTGATATATATGTATGTGTGTATAAATATATGCACTAGCCTTTTCCAGCCAAATGTTTGCAGCCTCATTCCAACATTTTGGCTTCAACTAATAATTATGCCCCCTTCTTGAAACACTTCCCTTGCTAGAACTCGATCTTCAATCTTATTCCCCACTATATACAGAGGGCCAATTTCAGTAAATCCACCTGCCTCTCCTGTTCTTTTTTAAAGATTTATTTATTTTAGAGAGAAAGCAAGCGAGCATGGGGGGGGGGGCGGCGCCAGAGAGAGAAGGAGAGAATCTCAAGCAGATGCCCTGCTGAGGGCGGAGCCCAACACAGGCTCAATCTCAAAACCCTGAGCAGAAATCAAGAGTCCCACACTTAACCAACTGAGCCACCTAGGCGCCCCTCGCCTCTCCTATTCTTATCAAGCCCAAACTTTGCAGGCCATACTGCTGCTTCTTCTCCAATAATACCCCATCCATATTTCACAGCCCAATACTAGACCTATCTCCTCCAAACTGCTTCCTAAATGTGCTGTTTTCAATCTTTTTTTTTTGGATATCTATCACTTTTAAATTGTTTAACACTTAGCCAAACTACAGGTTTCTAGACTTTAACAATAATCTAGCACCTTACAAATGACTTTCATTTCAATGAACCTGCTCCTATATTTCAATGACTATCCTTATATTAAATTAAGGTACTTTCAACATTTATCAGATCAAGCCAGACACTAATCCTCAGGATCTCGGACACTACCTGAAACATGTTATCATCTCTGCTGCTGCTCTGCTTAGAGGACGACAGGGCTCTTGAAGTTTCACCAGTCTTTTGCTTCTTCACAGGTTTTTCTGGAGTAACTTGCTTTTTCCTCTTTAACTTGAAAGAAAAACAAGCATAATGGTTAAAATGTGCACACATAAGAATAAGACACATCTCAAGTGCAAACACGTCATTACTTTTTAAGACTTAAAGGCTCAAAATACTACATTTATTAAGAAAAAAATCATAAACATATACACAAGCAAGTTTCACTTGCCAACAGAACTATGGAGCTAACCTAATATCTAACACAGTGTTTTCAAAATGTGTTCTCAGAAACCCAAAAAACACTTCAGGCATCATACTGGTAATAACCAGAGAAACAATTCTTTTCTAGACCAGGATCCCATATCCAATTTCTTTGCGGGGGTGGGGAAGTGATGGGGAGGCCTGCTGCTTTTGAATAAATTTTGGAAACCCCAAGTCTACTAAAGTTAGTCAGCAACTTATATTTTTACAAAGGATATATATTAATTAGGAAGAATACAGCCAACTTATTCCAATCCAGGATATGTTATTTATTCCCTGCCTATTCCAAAAGGGACTTAAATTGACTTTGAAAATTTTTGAGTATGCAAAGCTAAGAAAGCTATTTTATACTGGGCACTAGAAGTCAACAACTCAAGAATTTCATCACAAAAACCACTGAAGGTGGACAGCAATGTGTTAGATTAGCATCTAAAATCAAGACAATGTCTTAAATAAAGCAACATTATTGTAAAAACTTTTTATATAGCCTCATTCTTAAAATGACCTAACAGCCTATGAAAACTAGTAGAGTTCCCAACCTAAACAGCAGAGGGCAGTCATGTTCCTTAGTGGAAAGTATAAACTAATATGTTAATGTCTTACTAAATTAGATGAAGTTAGGTGAAATAGAATGTACACATGTATATAAACTGAAAAAGTGAATGTGTTACTGTGTTTACAGGGTTAATGTACTATTAATAGCAAAACAGCAGAGGGCAGTCATGTTCCTTAGTGGAAAATATAAACTAATATGTTAATGTCTTACTAAATTAGATGAAGTTAGGTAAAATAGAATGTACACATGTATATAAACTGAAAAAGTGAATGTATTACTGTGTTTACAGGATTAATGTACTATTAATAGCAAAAATAGCAAAAATCACCTCAGCTCAAAAGTAGAAAGTCACTGATTATTCTTTATATAGGGGCTGGATATTCTCCATGGATTGACACATAAAAGTGTGAAATAAAAATTTATTTCAAATTTTTCAAATTTGTTTTCAAATTCAAAGGCCATACCAGGTGTGAATAAAAAACCTAAGAGATATTTCCTTCTGGAGTATAGCTATGTATGTCGAGGCCTTATTTCAACCTTTAGGTTATATATTCTGTATTTCCCTACACAGGTCCATCTTCTCCAAGATTCTCCCATAAGCTCTTTTAACTAACACTGCCAACTAAACTCAGAGACATAATTATGTAAGCTCCTAGGAATTAAAAAAACAGTTCTGCACAGAAGCTCTGACTACAGTGTGAGCGGCTCAGTTAAGCGAAATACACCACTCCCAGCACAGCTGTCATCTAAGGTAGAAAAAGGCTATTGTCAAGATGGGGAATTTCATGTTAGCTTTGCTGGGTGTTGATTTAACTAAAAGGAGGGGACCAGAGTAAATAACATTCTAACTTAAAATGTACGAAGCCTACATTTTAAGTAATCCTAGTGGGCTGGATAAAAATCAACGGCTGAGAAGGCAGTCAAAACTGACATCTGCATTCAAAGAGTTCAGGTAATTTAACTCAACTACAACACACAATACCTAGAGATTAGGCAGATTCCTAAATAATGGCAAATAGCAGCTTTGGCCTCAGTCTAATGCTATTCCCCAGAGGGAATAAGGCCGTGGTTCTGTAGCTTTGGGGTTCCTGTAAGACTTGCTCCAGCCTGATTCAGGGGCTGGAAGTGTGCATGTACAACAAGTACCCCAGGCCCTTTGGTCAAGTGGTCCAGGAGCCTTCCGCACTTTGAGAAACACCCACCTAGGCGCTCATTTTACCATTCTGATATGCCTTGCTGTCCTTCAGAACTGGATGTGGGCAATACTGCTGAATTAAATATCACAGAAATGACTTGCATTAATAGTCACCTTTTTGTCAACCTCACTGTCAGAATCACTGCCAGAAGAGCTTGAAGAAACAAGTTCCTTTGATTTAGGCATTCTGAAAGAAAAATACATTATACACAATAATTTACAAACTGTTCTACTACCTTCAACTTGACTCTTTCCCAAGCAAAAATTTCAAGAAGTTCCATGGCTCTACCATTTTGTGGTACTGGAGTTGTTACGCTGAGCACAATGCTAGAAGTTATACTCTTAATTTATATTCTTCCAAGTTGAAAATAACACTCAGAACCCAGCAAGGAGAAAGAACTAAATGTCACACACATCTCACACTCCTACACCTCTTTCTCAAAGCCACTGGGTCTTTTTATACTTCATTTTAGAGGAGTTAGATGTTTATAGGTAGAATAAATTGTAAGAAGGCAGCTGACAGCAATCTCTGTTAAAACAGGAATAGGAATATTCTCAGTACTGCTTTATATTTCTCACTGATGAGACCTAACAGAAGTATTCGCTGCAGGAACTGACCCCAACATTCACACAACATGGGGAACAGCTGCACTATACAGATGTAATTCATTTGCCAGTATAACCCTATTTTTTCTTACTTTGTAAATGTTCTTAATTTTCTTTGGCTTTTTGATCATGCCATCAAAATGACAAGCACTAATTCAGAGTTCACAAAGTTAAACATAATTTTTACAGTTCATTACATTTTACACTGATTTTCTACTCTGAAATGTAACTACATTTTGAAGAATCTGCTTATGGGAGGGGCAAAACCTTTTCTCAAATTCCACTATGACCCTCACTCCCCCCAAACAGAGGTACATAACCCAATTATCTTGCTTTCAGGTGGATCTTTACTGAGTGCCTGAGCACAGCAAGACAGAGAGCCTTGTGCATCTACTTCTGCAGAGATTAAAAAAAAAAAAAAGCTAAAGCCCAAATTTCAAGGAATTCCAAGGCACTCTTTTCAAGGCACTTAACAATACCAGGTGGTAAGCCACTTATTATTAAAGTATCTTTAGCTCTCCCCGTCTCCAGAAAGACTCTTATTAATTTTTGTATGCCCTAAAGGGCCCAATATGTACAACACACAGTCTGTAAATGTTGAATAAAGGAAAAAAGACTTCATTTCCTCCTCAAAAAATCCTAAATAATCCAGCTCTCTAGACTAAACTTGCCTTGGCACTAACACTAAATGTGTCCCACATTAGGAGGTCAAGGTAAAAGAAGTGGGCCATCCATCCCAATTCTGGCCACTAATTTCAAAAAGCTCAAATATGCACAACCAGCCATGTTGATTTTAACTGGTAATTTCTTGAGAAGAGTAAATCCTGAGGGGACCAGAAACGTTCAGAACCAGATTTTATGTACTATTCCTGTTACTGCTCCATTTTACAACCTAAACTCCAAAAGCAATTTAGGTTTTTTAATGCTAGCAGCTAATAATGCCAAGAAACATTTTTTAAAAGGTAATTAAATTGGACATAACCTATTTTCTCACTTTGAAACAGTCAAGCATAACTATAGGTCTATTAATAATAGCTGCGGGGGGAGCTGCCTAAAATCATTTCAAAGAACGACCTCGTAATTAACCCAAATTAGAAGATCATTCAACAACAAAAAAGATAATGGTAACTAAAACCACTTTGAACTTTTGACAAATTTTAACTTTTACTTAATGAATCTTTACTGTTCGAAGGAGGCAGGCCAGTAATTCAGGAAGGTGATACTAAAACGCTAGTGAAAAATATATACAAAACGCAACTGAAATAATGAATTTCGGTCTGTGATGATGGCGTGGAGGGAAGATTAGAAAAAACGAGGTGAAAATTAAACCTGGACTAAAGGGCACAGGAATTCGGTACAACACGAGGGTGACGAGCACCAAGACGGGGAAGGGGGTCGCGCGGTGCCAGGAAGCTGCTGGAACCCTGGGGCTGGCAACGGCTGAGGCAGGGGGAGACAGGTTGGTCGGAGGGGGCGTGGGAGGCGGCGAAGTGCGGAGGAGACCGTATGGGAAGAGGAGGGACTTGCACCAAGCGCCATTTTCTTCTCTCGAAGCGCTAGCTACCCCTAGCACACCAGCCAACCTTCCCCCAACCCCCCCAGCCCTCCTCCGACGGGGTCCGCTCTCTCCCTCCCCCAGAAAGCGCCCCCCAACCCCGGATGCCGGGGTTTGAGTTCCAGCCAGGGCTTGGGGAGAAGCAGGCTCCGCACGCGCCCGCGCCGTGGCCCGGGCCGCCGCGGCATTGTCCCGGGGGCGCCCGGGC